AGACACCGCAATTGTGGTGTTTACACCGAAAATATAACGTAGACGTGGAAATTCAGGTGTATGCACCGTAAAAATAATGTACACACCGAAAGATCTCAAGGCGCAGTCTTTGTGCAATCACGTATACGCGGCTTTTTCGGTGTTTATGTGATTCGTCTGATTTCCATGCAACTAAGTCACTCCTCATTACCATTTTAGTATAAGTTATGAAATATTTGAAAGAAATTAATAGATATACTAAAATTGGGCATCGTTACCAGAATGAATGGAGAATTACTAATAAACTATGTATATGCGGATATTTTAGCGAGAAAATAAAGGGATTATTTACAATAATATAAAAAATAAAATTTAATTCATTACACTACTCCTATTTTACTTACATGCTGTTAAGTTAAATCCTGTACCATCGTAAATACGGCTTGATTTATTAAAAACTACATTCACTTTTGTTTTTTTGATACATTTTGTTTCTTGGTTCGATCAGGAGTTGGTGGATTTGTTGTCACACTGTGTACCTTTTGCTTCAGGGATAGTTTTTGTTAATTGTGAGGTGGGTCTTAAATCTATAATTTCACTATGGCATAGACTAATAACCGAAATAGTGAGTTAAGCTAATTTGCGTAACTATAAGAGTTGATTTCAACATACTCAAATTCATTTTCAAATTCATCACGATATTTTTCAAAAAATTTCTCTAGATCGACATCATTCACTATTAACACATTGCTTTCCATCTTTCCAACCATGGATTCTACTGCAAGAAAAGTAAATATATAATATAGTACTTTCTTATCAGATCTCTTTCATATTGCTTTTACTCCTGCCCAGAAAAGTTGAATTCCAAAGACGATTTGCAAGTAGTTGTCCATACTATCTGTTATATTATAATCTGGGTTTACTGTTAATAATACGAGAATAAGAAAACTTTATAATGACAGCAAATAATTTATAGTAAATGTACTACCTTGTATTGAATCAGACCCTAAATAATCTTTGTGATTCTCTGATCTTACAATGGTGATTAATTGACAATTTTGTTGTTTCTCGTGCATTTGCATATTGGGAAGTGTTTGAATAAACAAATACAATCCACATCATCTCATAAGCATTCCACTCTTCTTTACCATTTTCCCAAATATGCTTATATGCTCTAATGAAGCAAAATGAACCATGTTTAAGGTAGTTATCGGATGATCTTTTTTTTATCTAAAAGAACAGTAAGTATTAGTAATATTTTTAGGTAAGAACTAAGTTTAGTAATAAGAGCCAACCAAAGATGCTCTCACTTGGAGCAAGCATTATATTATATTACCAAAACTGAAGATTGTCACAAGAACAAACCGAAGATATTCTGCTAAAATAATATAACGTATATTACTGAAACTAAAAATCATCACAAGAACAAACCGAAGATGTTCTTGCTAGAGTAATATAATACTTCTATACTTGAAACTGAAAACTATCACAAGAACAAGCCGATGATGTTCTTGCTAGAGTAAT